CGTTAGTCGGAGGTGATTTGTCGGCGGTGGCTGCGAGCAGGTTGTCAGATCTGAACAGGAGATCAGTCAGTGTGTCGTTCAGGACTCGCTGTGATTGTTCCAGAGCTTTCAGCAGCAGAGGAATCTCCTCCGCCGTGTGTGCTGGTGTCAGGTGTGTGCGGCCGGGGGATCCTGTCACACCTGTGCAGCTTTTTATAAGTGTGTGTGAGCGAGGCAGCGTGTTGATGTGCAGAGATTTACCTGCATAAACAGCAGCATCATGTTCTGTGCAGATGTGAGGAACCCCTGCAGTAGCACATGCCTTCCCCGGCGTTGCCTAGCAACCTCCAGGCTCCTGACACGCAGCAGTACCCCACCGCCTCCCCGCTTACTGCCTCAAACACACAGTTAACATACACACACACACACAGTGTAGGTTTCCACTGAACGACATTCATCACTGCTGGTTCTGGTTCTGTTTGTTCCTCACTGTATCGGATTTAAATCAACATGTAAAACTTGAATCTCTCTGTAATCAAGTTAATATACAGCAGTCTGAGTGTTTACTTGTTGAGCTGCAGTGGAGGGAGATTTAAAGAGGTTCTCCACCTTAAAACAAGGTTTTTGAGCTGTGACTGAATTATATGACTGTACTGAAACACATCAGTGCTGCTGTTAATATTCACATTGTTATCAGATCAGCATTTCATTGGTTGGAAATGAACTGGCCCTGTACTGCTGTAAATCCTCCTTTATGTTGTGAGTCAACTTAACTTCCTCCAATCAGAGTAGGACGGCCCACCTTTTACCAACAGTGAACGTGTTTGTGAACACAGTCTGACAGCAGCTGCTAGTGTACCTCTGTTAGCTCTGTTAGCTCTGACTACCAGCTTGCTGTTCCTGCTACGCTGCTGTGGTCAGTCTGTAAATCAGTCTGTAATAACAGCGGGACAGACGACCTTAGAAGAGAGCGTTGGTGAGTTTTATCCACAAAACCAAGTTCAGTGATCTCTGCAGCACTTTTTAGTAGTTTTGTAGTCAAATTGTAATTTTTTCTGTGCTCATAAATTAAACATTTATCTTTGTTATAATCACCAGTTTTCACTTTATAATACAGAATATAATACAGAAGCTACTGCGACAGAATCTTTTAAATCTTTATTTAAAGATCCAGTTACGTCCACAGGCTTCTTGTACCTTTGAAGACATTGAATGACACAGTGGTCCAACTTCTGTCCAGATGACTCTGAGAACATTAACTGGACTTGTACTGGGTCTGGGTCTTGTAATTATCTTAAACTGGTGTGTAAACTGTCCCGTGTTGTTGGAGCGAGGTGCTGACGCTGGCAGGGTTCCTGTGTATCCCAGCACAGAGGCTGCAGAGCTCAGATTCATGACTGTAATCTGTCTGGTGTTCTGTCAGTCGTAGCTGGTGTCGACATCGCTGCTCCTCCACCTGCAGCCCGCCGCGGGTTAATGACCCGTGAAACAGCTCGCCGTCAGCCCGGAGAGAACGAGCTTAAGATCTGCAGATGGCGTCTGATCAGTGTTTCAGACAATCTGTTATTATATATATTTAAGCTGCAGCTTCAAAACCGTTTCATTAGTTCCTTAAAGTTTCCAATAACGAGGTTCCTGTTGTCGCTCATGAAGGTTTAATCTTTAATCATAAATTGTGGGTTGATAATAATAACAGTAAAGTTTATTTATATGTCTGAGAGTGGTCTAAAAGCTACAGTTAGCCTTCAGGGGGATCTACCAGGATGTAAATAGTTTCTGAGACTTCCTGTTTATTCTGAAGGCTGCTGGAAACTGTCCCCTCCTCTTCTCACTGATTCATTTTCCCTTTCCGGGCAAAGTGCAG